TACTAAATGTATAATATGTAGTTTGCATTACTGTTGATAAATAAATAAATGATTGCACTGTTCAGTAAAGAAATATACCAATTGTATTATCTAAACTGACTGACTTGAAAAATCAAATCAGTACCAAAATTATGGTTACCCTGTAGTAGTGAAAGGCACATTAAAAATGAATATCACCCCCTTCAATCTATTTTTACAGGTTTTTATGATTATTTCAGATTTTTCTATAGTTTGCGTAACCAGGACGGTGAATTTTCTTCATTTTTCATCAAACATTTTGTCTTACCAATATTTATTATATCTGTCATTTTTATCAAAATCGCGCCGCTACGTTTGAAAATAATTCAAATTATGTAGTTTTTCCCATTGAGCTCCATTATAAAAATGGAATTTTCAAACTTAATATTTTAAAATTCTACGCGGTGAAAAGTTGCATATTGAGTAGTTAGTTAATGTTATGGTGTTAAAAATTCAAAACAAAAAGGAATAAAGAAAAAATGCCACAGAGTAGTCTCAATAGAGTCTCTTTAACTAGCAATCAACCCATCAACACACTTTTTCAAAGATGTTGACCACATTTTCACCAAAAATGCAACCATTTTTTACAATGTTTAATGCATTGCTATTCTTTATTTTGATGTATCAAATAGTTCTTGAAAGAAAAACTTAGTTGCTTTAAGATAAGTGTTCCCCATGTTATTTCTCCATTGAAAAATCTCATGCTATCCATTAGTTTCAGTTCATTTTTGGTCATCCAAATTCAGTATCTTTAAAGTCCCTGGAGCAATCAACTTTTCCTTTTAGGAAATCGAACATGTCTCAAAGCACATTCTAATTATGCATTCAACAATATAATAAAATGTTGCATTTTTGGTGAAAATTAGATCAACATTTTTGAAAAAGTATGTTTATTGGTCCATTGACCCTTCAATATCACTAGGTCTGAACTAAATTATCATTATATATCAATTCAATTTCAAAATAATTTATTTCAGTTTTCATTACAAAATATACAATATTATACATGCTATGACACCCCAGGGGGTGTATAACTGCCCATAATTAAATTTACAATAAACATGATAAACTGTGAACCTTTAAAGTGGTACATAGGTCAATACAATAATATAATATAATATGAATACAATATACAAATACAATAATATGAGACAATAAAGAAATGAAATAAACGTTTTGGTTATTCTGTACTCAGGAGGTCAATTTTCAAACGAGATATGAGTGAATTTAATGGTTTATTTCTAATATCTTCATTGAAGGAATTCCATATATATGATCCATGGACCTTAATAGAATTTTCACCAATTCTGGTTCTATGTTTAGGAATATCTAAGTTCTGACCAAATCGAGTTATACGTTGATGTATGTTTTCTCTAGTTTTAAAATAGTGATCGTATAATTTTGAAGGGAACTGTATAGATTTGCTTATAACTTTTTTCATGAATGAAACAGTTCGGATTGTGTGAATATGATAAATATTTTAGTATTTAAGATCTTGAAAAATTGGGAATGTGTGAGCTAATCTATCTGAATTCTTACAAGCATTTCCCCATAAAATATATCAGTAATTAAGATGAGAAAAAATCAGAGAGTTATATATTATCATCTTTGAATTTCAAGTATGAGCATAATTTGTTCGATATAACATTCCTATAACATTTGAAACTTTTCTATGAAGAGCATTGATATGGGGAGCCCAAGATAATTTTGAATCAATAATTACTCCCAGGAATCCTATCTCATCTACTTTTTCAAGGTTAGAATTTGCAATTTTTATTTCATTGTACACATATATATATTCTTTTCTTGAAGATGATAAATGGATTTAAAAGAAACACCCATGTTCATGATCAGAAAATATTCCAGAATAATTCAAGTTAGAATCGTTTGAAATTGTTTGCAATAACCTACGTGCTCCTTTGAAGCCATTTATTTTGATTATATGGGGTTCATCAAACGTGGCTTTCACTATCATTCTTGAATCTCTCTTGCTTTTTATCTAATATGATCAGATGGGATCTTTCTTGCTTTTTAAAGCATCATTTCAAACTGTTTTGATATTTGAAATTTGCACCTCCCTGGAATAGCCAATACCACCGAACAAAACATGTTTTATCAAATCACTTGAATTCAGCAGCTATCTTGAAAATTCCTAGTTTTAATAGAAGCACTTACAATTTGACAATCAAATCTGAAAACTGATATTTGTGTTTTCAAGAATTAAATTTTTACGAAATAAGGCGGCTATTTAGAATTCAGATGTCATCTTGCAATTTCCTTCTTGAGCAAATGTCCTTTGTTCATGATACTTTTGCCCATATAATTTGGACCAAAGCTATAATCAGTCCTTCGGTAGTCAAAATATATTTTTTCATGAAAATGGTGGCCATTTTTAATTCAGTAGCCACCTTGAAAATTCCTTCTTTTAGCAGAGTTCTATCTCCCTAAGGCATCATCATCATCATATCAAATTTGAATCAAATCCAGAAACAGGCATTTGCAGTTATGGAAGATAAAAATGACGGCCATTTTGAATTCATCAGCCATCTTCCTTTTTAGCATGGTGTCATAAAATTTGAACGGTCGGAAGGCTTTCCAAATATCCATGTGAACTCCGTTCGATTGGGTAATGGCAGGTATAATAGATGTTCCCTTAATGAAATGAAAATATCAATCAGTATTTGACGTCGATATCTGCACTTCTCGTTTTATGCGGGAAAAAAATAAACGAGAATATGCTTACTTTAGATAATTCGTAATGATTCTATACGTATATTAGTTTAATGGTACAGTATACTAGGATACTAGGAGCAAGAGACACACAATTCATATGCCTCTGCAAAATCGTACGAAGGATTGATGTATAGCATCAAAAGCGATGTGTTTTGAATAAAGTACGACTAATATAATTATCCAGAGTGCCACAAATCCTTACCTATAAGTCACTACAGTGTGGAAAACCTAATGAAACAGTTTCTCGAAGTGATATTAAATCATTTCATGATGTTTTTGCCTACATTAAATACATCATCCAACAGTGGTTACGATGTATTAACAATGATTTGTAGGATTTCAGCTGTCATTATGGCATTGTTCGCATTTGAATGTTAGTAATTTTTCTGATTTTCTGACATAAAGACCACTCTCTCAAGAAAGAAAGCAATATATTTTGAATGTGTTTTGTGCTTTCGTTTCTATTTCATTTAGTTACATCTATCTACACGGGGGGGGGGGAGTCTACCCGCCTATATACAACCTACCGCCGAGCAAAGACCCGAAGATGTCTGAAAATGTAGGGGGGGGGGAGTTAATAAACTCCTGTTTATATATTGAATTTCTCAATATGAGAAATGGATAAAACACAGAATTGTTTGTAACCGATATAGCTGTTGTTCCAGCCACTCATGTTTGCAAAATAATTAGTTCTTAATGCAATATTTACTATCAAATCGCTAAATTCAACTTCTAAATATTTGAATGATGTTTTACATCTTAAATAAGTAAGATCCATGGCTGTCTTTACTCTATTTGATTCAAAGATACAATTGGTGCAAATATATCACATTTGTTTCACTGTCATACGTTGCATATCATTGAAATCACCGGTGAAAGTTGAAAATGAAAGACCCGATTATACCACGAGTACGATTCTATGGGACCCGATGCTACCGCCTGAGTATTCCGATTATACCGTGAGCCAGAGCCCGGTGAGGTAGTGAGTAAGCTTTCGGGTGATCATATAATAACACGACGTATATCACAAATATTCCTGTTAATTTATCATATATTCCTGGCGTCGGGATATAAAATAATATGATATAATTCCCGCTGCACTATACGTCAACGTCTGTGTGCCACAAAGTTTTTTAAGACAGTTCTATCTGACAATGCTCATAATCCAATGATTTTGGTACGAACTTTAGTCCTTCGACCTCGTTGCTATTTCTATCCTCCAGTGTTGATAGCCTAATTTCTACTGTGTCACTCTGGTTCAAAATGTTACAATAGTATTAATAACGAGGAATCCTTCTAATAACGGCAATTAAATCAAGGTTCAAAAACTCCCAAAAGTAGCCCTAACACCATTTCACCATCAGCACGTCATAAACTTGACGATATCATCGGATCTCAACAGATTTTACTCAAGTAATGTTCGGATTCTGAGATCCTTTACTCAAGATATTTTCGGATCTTTATAATATTACTCATCGATCACATCGGTCCGATGTCCGATAACATTGGATCTTTTAGGACAGCGTTTAAGTGAAGATTTTGCTGTTCAAAGGTGCTATTTTGACCTAATAATTTGACACTTAATAATATATTATGCATATTACATTTACCGGCCCAAGTATGTCTTATGTATGGCTCGTTATCAATTAAAGGGAGTACGAATGAGAAAAACAAATCGAAAACCATCGTTTTAATTATCTCTTCATTTGGACATAAAAAATATATTTCAACAATTCCGCCTGCTAGAACATCTTAGTAACGATTTTAACCATCCAAGGGAATTGATAGTGGCCTAATATTACCTTTATTGTCCATTTTCCTACTTGAGATGTAGTTTACCAAACATTGGATAGGCGGTATAAGCGTGTCTTACTCGGCTGTAGGTTGTATATAGGCGGGTAGACTTTCCCCCCGTGTATCTACATTTGGGCAGGTATCCCATTTTTTCCAATTTACCACCCAGCTATGACAAAATTGAGAATGAAAATTCGATGATTCACAAGAAATGAAAAGTTAAGTCAAAATACATTTTGTAAACCGCGCAAAGACGTTTAGGCACAATAAGAGTTGTTTATTGTATTCAATAGAATTATTCAATTGTGTAACTCAGTTTGTTTGATTCATTTTTTCAGAAAACAGTGTTTGAATAAATATTCTCATACTTTTTGAATATTTGGTGAATTCTAAGTTTAATTGACAATCTGATTCCGCATTGAAAGAAGTGGTTTTGCTGATAAAATGAGACCTACCTAAAATGAGCAATTGAATTTCCTTCTGCCGTAATTCCCGTTCTTCGTCTAGTTGGTGGTCTATACTCCGACTCCGTGCCAGGGCACCCTTGCTACGCTGCATCTTCGGCGATAACAGCGCCTGGGTCGTCTGAAAACACAGTATTGAAAGTATTTGTGATGTTGGTTTTACATGTACTGTAATCTCTCACAGTTAGTTCAGTTTCTACTTTGTATGAACAGCATAGGAAATATTTAAGCGGATTTCTGTTCGACGTATACCTAATTTAGCGCCTGGGTCGTCAGTAAATTGAAGAAAATATAATTAGGTACAGTACGTAACTATAGTGATTCTGTGTATGACAGTCGTCGAGGAGCAACCTTGCAGATGTAGTTTTTTCATTTCCTGCGCTGTTGAGATTTTGGTCCCCGGGTTTTAATGTCCCACTCTCCAAATTACAAAAATAGGGGGGAGCAACTGTCCCACCGACATTATGTGTTACCAGAGGAAATCGGACATCGATTTCGATGTCCCCCTCGTGTTTAAACTGTTGATGGCTGTATGCTGGGACCTTCTATTTCTTCTATTACAAGTCATTACAATAATCACAACTATTGATAAAAAGTACGTCAACTGAGCATTATTGTAGGAAATATATCAAGCTATTGATATTCTCCCTCGGGGAATTTCCATACTCAATTCCATAACCATCTAATTTGGCCTAACACGGGGCTGATCATAACTCAGTTGTTAGAACATAAGCGAAAATGCCATCTGGTCATATATTAGTCCCAAGTCGGATATACGTATAAAGCCTCTTGTTATCTTTGCGTACGATACGGCAATGATTCTACAATAAAACGTATACGTTAGCACTGGTGATCCGCTCGATTACGCTGGTTACCGAAACGGTTCGTTTTGGTAACAAAATGTCGGAACGTCGAAGGTACGATTTTTCTTTTTTCCTTATTTCACGAGTTGTAGGCAGAATCCCAACGACGTTTTTTCTCACAAACGTGTATCAGCATCATATGTTTTAAAAAATGTACATGTTTGCGAAAAAATAGCTCAGAAGACAAAAGAATCGTCGATTTAATTCCTCACTTAAGTTACATAAACGGTAAATGTTTTGAATGAAATGAAACATCTATCCGAACCTTATTGGAACAAAATGACATATACACAACGTGTTTAGGTCTCACAATATTTTATTGTACAAAGTAAAGTTTGGTTCATTTAAAAAAACGCGTAATGAAATAAAAGTTTTTTTGTTTTAATTTTTGAATACTTTTTGTTAAATGAATAAAAAACAATTGCAATAAAAATTATTTGCAAAAAACAGTTATTTAAAATATTAATAATTTTCGCATTTATTTGTTGTCAATCAGTGACCATTACATAACGGGCCGTGTTTTTTACAGAATGTTTTCAATAATTGGTTGAATAGAAAAACAAGTTATGTTGAATTCAGTTAGCCATATCGATACCAATCCTTTCATAGTGGACTTTTTGAGAAAGGGACACTTTAATGAGTAAAACCATATAGACGAGAAAAATGGGAGTTTAATATTTTTTTTGACCCCAACCGACATTTTGGTATCATTGGAAAGCCCCAATACCATACTTCAGGATTTTGAGGAAAAATAAAGTTTTCACTCGGGCCGTTGCTATGGAAACGGGTGTTAAAAATAACGACCATTTTTAACAAGCATTAATAAGCAAAAACGTGTATTTGCATGTATCTTTTTTATTATTCATCAGATAATTATGATTTGGGTATCAAATGAAAGCTTATGATGCCACCATTACAATGAGGTATGAAATATGTAAATTAGCTCGTTAACATAGCAATTGTGACGTCATAACTGAAATTTTCCAAAGATTTTAATGTAAAAATTGGTTATGTACCTTTATAAAGGTCCCATTATTTAAAATCATGATGTATTTTTCCCACTTTTCATATCAATTTGAAAGAGTATGATAGCAACTTTAAAATGATGTATGCAACGTGCCATTTCGGTCCGAAAGGGTGTAACATATTGCACAAACAAAAATTGTTTTGAAACTAATCCTCCTTGAAAGAAATATCAAAAAAGGTTTGAGGTATGTTTTATCTTGAGGTATCATTTTTTCGTCAGATAATTAAATGTTTGTTATCAAATAAAAGGTAATGCTTTTTCCTATTTGATAAAGTATAATTTATACTAAATAGCTCATAAGCGTTTAAATTATGACGTCATAACTGACATAATTGACACAAAAAGTCAAAGTAATCACATCCATGTGTTAAAAGTTATATTGATAGCGGTTTATATATTCCAATGGGAATTTCCCCCAAATTCAACGCCAATATCTTTGGAACGAGGCAAAATCCAGCTTGGAACCACTTTTATTTTGAAGATCATCATTTCATTCAAACAAGCAAGGAGGGTGGGCTTTAATTTATTACTCTCTAACTGTTCTTTATGGGGTCTTTTGAAAATAGCTAAATTAACAAGGGACTCTATGTGCAATATTTTTTCGGGCCACTTTTCAACACCACTTCGGTGGATATCAAAAACTAATTATTTATAAATGAGATTTTGGTAAAAAAATTGTGCTTTATTTAGACTCCGCTAAGCGTGCATGTTAAAGATTGGATAGTGATAAGAACACTGCTGTAGTTGAATTTCTTCAGTATGAGTAGGGTTGGTACAGTACTTACAATACGATAGCACAGGCAACAGACAGGTGCATCAGACTGCAATTATTAAAGAGAGATCTTCCTTCCTAAGGTAAAATTAATTAAGAAATATAGACTGAAGAGCAGGGGTAATATTGTCGATTACACCCCGCAGTACTAGGCACAAACGTTTTCTGTACCCCGAACGACCGAAGGGAGTGAGGGGTTCGAACGATTTTGTGCCTAGCCCTAAGGGGTGTATTCGACGATATTACACCTGCTCTGATGTCTATATTACGATTCGAACAAAAAAAACTCACCGAAATGTTTCGAATATTTATTATGGTCTGCCATTACTACGGTCCACCGTTATGACGTCACACATTACACGCAATTACCAGGGACAATGTTCGCGAATATACCCTGGGTAAAATGTTGACTTTGTTTACAGTTTATAGAAGGCGTGAATACAGTCATGTTCGAATAGGTTATAATGTATACGCTTTAAACCCTGCTCTGTAGCCTTGCATCAAGGCTTTGGACCCCCCCCCCCCCCATGGGAGAGGTGAGGTACACTCCCCTCCATAAGTTTGACAATCCTAACTTCCTCATTGAACTACGTGTTAAAGCCTCTTTATGTTTGAATTTTTATTTACATAACCTGTGAGACAAACACTAATACTATTGATGGGAATGTACATTTCTAAAGGCTCCAAATTTTCCAAATATTTTCCTTAATTACAATAGGTCGAAAATTTATGATAAATTTGATGCATTTTTGAGAAGCGTCATTCCCATGTAAACCAACGGGAAATGAAAGGTGGGTTCGGGGCAAATCTGATTTCAGGATATCTAACCAGTAAAAGATTCATCAAAAATTATTTTTATAAAGAAAATTGAATTGTCTAACTTTTTTTGTACGCTGTTCAGCTTACTTCATGAATAGAAAAGTTACAGACCTTCAAAGTCATTTTCGAAAATCATTTTTCGCCCCTGTGTTATTTAAATAAAGAGAGGAGTTTTTCGGAAAACAACTTTGACAATTTTGAAATCCTATACCTTTTTTCAACCTATGTAGGTGTCACGGCCACAAATATGTACAAATAAAAAACAACAAAAAAAACAACGTATCAGTTTTTTTATTAAATAAAGTAAGAAATTCAATTGACTACTGTACCTCACTTGTATATTTTGCAAGAACTATGATGGTCGTATTCTGTCGTATGACTTCCGGCATACATACCATTTCCCACTGATTTAAATGGGAATATCGATTTTCAAAACTCCAGATCAGATCTATCATCAATTTTCGACCTATTGTATTTGAGAAAAAATTGGGAAAATTTAGAGGCATTGGAAATGAAGTCAAGTTACATTTCCATCAATATTATAAGTATACATTTCGTAGGTTATCTAAATAAAAATTCAAATATGAAGAGGCTGTAACACGTAGTTCAATGAGAGAGCTAAGGTTGCCAAACCTGTGGAGGGGAGTGTATACTAGTATAGGGTGTCTCAAAAATGTACCCAAAAGTATAGCAACATCATAGGCAAACGAATCAATATTTTCAGACATTTTTTGCATGGTCTTGTACAGATGAAAGTTTTTTCCCCTATACACAGTTTTTAATTCAGTTTTGCCTTTTTGATACTTTAACCCGTCACTACACCACATATTCAATGTAACCTCATATTTCGATGACAGTCTGCATCCTTACTACTACATTCTTCATCACATTTGATATTTCTAGTGGAATGTTTTGATTTCTGCTCGGATGCTGGTCTTAAGGTGCTCTAGGTCTCTTAGCTTGGGTTTAGCATAAAAATGGTCCTTCAAATAGCCTCAGAGAAAAAAGTATGGGCCGTCAAATATGGTGAATAGGGAGGCCCTCACAATGTCTTATAGCGCCCATATACAGAGAGGTCAGAGGTTCAAGAAACTGCATTGGTTGGGATTCTCGTGTAGCCTTTGTTGTGTGTATCAATTTGAGACCACTGTGGATATCATTTGGTCTCCATGATAGCCTGCCTAACTATGGAAGGTAACTCCTGAAGCATTTGCCGATAAATGTCCTGATTATCTGTGTTTGTTCTGCCATCGTCATCCTCAAACAGCTTTCTCTGTGGCTATTTGACGGGCTGCAGGTTGCAGGTTACATGGGCTTTTGTGTTATGTTTTGTCAAGCTTTACATCCAGCCTCTGTAACCCTACCCGCTACCCACATACTTCTCCCCTGGAGGTAGGGGAAGGTACATGATTTAGCAACTTGAAATCATATACATGAGGGGGGCATCTGAAAAGAAAATGGTTGAGTGTTTCTGATTCCAGTTCGCAAGCGCACATTGGGGAATCAATTATTAAAATCATGTGAGTGTATTTGCGCTTTGAGGACTAGGTCGCATCTGCAAAGAGATTAATGAAAACGCGACCAGATATGAAGTTAAATAAATCATTTTGTGTAACAGTTGCCAATGAAATTTTATTCGA